TTTAAAAAATTTATTCTTTTTTTATATTATGAATTTCACTAAAATACCCTATTTTTTAATTCAAATCCCAAAATGACATTATTTTGGATTGTAGGAGATAATTTTATCTTTTGTAATAAGAAAAACGTTAATCTCATAAATAAATGAATAAAAAAGAATATGTAAATTTTTTCTATGTTCTTACTATTTAGAGTCTATTGGAGTCGTACCTAATCTAAAAATTGAATTTAGAGTAGGTTTGAGCTATGTTGCATCGATACTGACATGGGATACGTGATACGACACGACAAGACTCGCCAACACGTTAATTCTAAAAAATGTCATATTTCGACACGTTAGGACACGTTTTGATATTAAATAATATTTTTAATATATATATATATACATATATATAATATAATTTATATTTAATACATATAACAGTCTATAATAAGTCATATAACCAATCAAATATTCAAATTCCATAACATAAATTAAAGCAAACATAATTTTTTGTACCTTTTTAATTTTTCATGTCAAATTCCATAACAAAAAAAATTGATTTATAAATTATTTTTTCATGTTTAGTTAATAAAATAAAATTTAGACCTAAAAAAAACATGTCGGATACGTGTCAGAAACGCATCGGAGCATTGACTGCATGTCGGACGCGTGTCGGAATATGTTGGATCGTGTCGATGTCCGACAAGCATTTTTTAAAAAATTTGCATGTCGATGCTTTGTTGGGTTTGAGTTGCAAGTGTGAAAGTCACTCTCCTTTAGGTTCTAGTGTTGATTGAGAGAGAATTACTTCACACTCAATTGCTTATTGCTTATTACATTTCTCTAGTCTCGATCGTTATATACAGTTTTGGAAAAATTCAGGTACATCTCTATAAAATTTGACGAACTTGGTTTATCACAATAGGAATATAATTCATCTACTTACTAAAGAATAAATGGAGTACTTTTACCTTTTATTTTTTTAGTGTTGCATGCAGTGATAATTATCCTCCACGTGGGTCTAGATATAATGGTAATGTTATAAGTCCCACATTGATTGCCTATACAACTAATAAGGGTTTATAAGTCCTTGGGCACTCCCACCCTTTGAGCTAGTTTTTGGAGTGGTGACTTCAAAGTTCGTAACAATTGCTGCTTTCATTCTTGAACACCAATCACGATACCATGATGCAAGTTCAAGATCTCGCTGCAGAGTTCTCTGTGTTCCCGCGAAAAGTTGATGCTCGTTTTGAAGCTAATCTCGCTCAGATGTCTCGTGTAGAAAAATGATTTGATGATTATCAGAATTAGCTAGTGTTGATTGTGACTCACTTGCAATAGCTTAACATTACTGTTATGGCAATTGCTGCACGCACTCGTGTGTCTCATCTTCGTGATCCTAATTTTTGTGGAACTTTGTTTCCCTCAAATGCCGATGCTGCATCGTCTCAGAATCCTCAATTATTGCAGTCCAATTTCATCGTTCAAGATCCAACCTCTTCTGCATTTTCTTTTTCCAAAATAACAGAGCATAACTCTAACGTTGCACACACTTAATCGATTCATCAGCATGTTCATGCCACTTCTTTTAATAATATGTTTTCCATTGAGAGCGTTTCATGCCCAAACATTCATAGGCGAACTGAATCTGCAGATCCACGTTCTGCATTCATGTTCATTTCCATGGAGATTTCTCCTCTCAAGTGCAACATTATATCAGCTGCACATAAGGATGCTAAGTGTTGGGTGTGAACTTGTTGGTTGCTTATAATGTTATGATGAAGGACGTTCCTTTACTTTTAGTTCATCAAGAGAAAACATTTTCGTTCTCTTCACATCAACCCAAGTGCGCAAGTGCACGCATCAAGTAATAAGTGGGACTATTAGTGCCCAGATTATCGTTCCCACGAGGATAGTACTCTAATTAATGCCTTAAACTATTTTAAAAAGAATGAAAATAAAAAGAAAAGTTAGTAAATGACCTGGTTGGTCAAACGTTCCCTACTGTCCTGATAATGTTTCTCAGAAATAGTAGGTTCAATCTGACAGCAAACAGCTCCTCGCGTCGTTATATATGAAATCCTTCTTGATGAGAGAAGGAACGACAATATTCATTGGAGATTTATAGATACAAGATTGAATAAAGCATAAATAACAATAGTAATAACAATATTTAAGAGACAACAATATGGAAGGGTTAAAACAGTTTTAACACAAGGAACAAATTCACTTATCCATTCTTAAATAGTTATATTCTCTACCCAGGACTTAACACTTCTGTATTTGTTCCAGTCTCTTCAATGCAAACTCTGATTCCTCAGCTCATGGACTAAATGGCTCACAAGTTTCCATATTCCTATGGCTCCTTTGACTCCAACAGTTACTTAGCACATGACCTTTAGTGAACGAGGTGGTCCCTTATTCCTAAGGCAACCAGCAGTGTTGTTTCCACAACACTACCTTCCCCCCTCTAGTTAAGCTGTCTGAAATCCCTCCCTTATGGAAGTTTCTTTCTCAGTATGTGTTCAATTTTCATTGATACACAATGAATATAGCTCACTTAACCTGAGAAATACAAAAACTTAAGCACAAGAGTTTTGAAAATAGTTCTTAAGAACTTCACAGTTTTTTCGTTCCACAGATAACTTAGCGCATGGCTACTACTTTAAACATAATTATTCCAAACTGAAATCCCATAGACCCGAGATTCGGTTCAGAGATAACGAGTTGAAAAGAAGAGAAATAACACGTATATTTAACTGGGAACAAATTAGGTTACAATAAAAGGAAAAGTGGAGAAATATGGTTGCTGCTCACGAGGAGTCTCAAGTGGGTGATACATAATAGAGAAGAAGTTGTTGTCCCTTAGCTAATACTAAAACTATACAACAGAAATATAAAAACTACAAAATAAAATAAGTGATCTCTTCTTAAGGAATTCAATGATTTTCTTCGTGCTGAAATGTCCTATTTATAGGTAGAAGAGTGGATGGCAAAGCTTATAATTTCCCTGTAGTTGGTTTTTTGACTGCATGAACGGGGCGGTGTGAACAATGCATAGAGGGATGCAAGTTGCTGGATGGGACACTTATTGTTAAGATTTGCCATTTCTTTTGCAGTTTCCCATGCCTTACTTTCCTCTTAGCCAATGAGAACTCTTTATTCCCTGTTGTACACGTTTCTTCGTGCTTGATTGTTGTACCGCTTATGCATTATGAAAACTTCTATTCAACGTTTCCTGCAAAGTGGTCAGAGAGATTGAGTTAGTGGAGTAGGTGTATTTAATATTCCCAATTCGTTTCCCTTTTACTATATTTTCCAAAGGATTATGTCATCATCCGTCCCCCCCTGTGTTTTTATCGAAAAGATATTAAAACATGTGTTTTTAGTGCTAAAGTTGCTCATCAGGTGAGGGAACAAATGGTATTTTGCCATCAAAATGGGCTTAAATAGGAACGAATTTTCGTCCCATCAAACACCCCAAAACTAAACTGTTAGTTGTCCTCTAACAACTCAGAAATAGTGGCTCAGGCTGCTCAATTTCAAAGAAAAGCTCAACTTTAGAAACTTAACCAATGAGTAATCATGATCTTTTCAAAGAATGAACTACTTTCCATAAATAACAAGTAGAAAGAATTTGTTCCAAGGTAAGTGAAGGTTATTGATCTTCTGTCTCACTATCACTCAGGGCTTGGTGTTTCTCTGTCCATTCCTGGATGTGATTCTTCAAACTTGCTTATCTGCTTCTTTCCTAAGAAGTGTGGGTGCCTTTTATTTCAAAGGATCTTGGTGAGAGGAGTTGTGGAGGATTTTTAGAATGGAATGGTCATAGGTCTTGGGTCAAGGAATGTTTTCATTTTTCTGCTTGAGCCTTGGACTTCTCTGTTTGAGGGGAACACCTTGTCCTTGTTTTTGTACCTTCATTTCTTCCTTTGGAGGAATCTTGTCTGGTATTTTCTTCTGAATTCTTTTGAATGGATGTTCCCATTTTCTTTAATTTCTTTCTTCTTGTCCTTTTTGCTCATATTACGGTTGTTCCTTGGATTTTTCAGTGGACCTGGTGGTATTTAGGACTGTATGTATTTGACTGTGGTGAGGTGAGTGTTTGGTGGTCAATCATCTGTTGTGAATTTCACCTGTTCTTCAGCAGTACTCACAGCATCAAAGCAAGTTCAAAAGTTTCATTGTGGTTACACCTTAGGAACGCTCTCATGAATAAGTGTTTGGCATTTTTTGTTCCTCACAAGTTTTAGTTCACACAGATCAGCATCCTTCAAAAATCTGAAGATTAAATTCACTTCTCTTTTCCCTACTTCTAGCATTCAGAGTAAGAAAAAGAATGATTACACATTGACTTTATGTTTCATGCCATTGGTTATCTAAATTTTACAGCCACAATACTATACCTGAAATGTTTGCTCCAAACAGTTTGAACAATAAAGGCTTTTTCTATTCAAAAAGGTGAAATGTACACTAAGGAACGGAAAGGAAAAACAAATGGAAAATTAACATAAGGAAATAATTAATAGAAAACAAAACAGGAGGGTCTTTTTCCTTTTCATTGTAGACGTCTCTTGTCCAGCTCGGTGTTCTTCTCAGCATCAATCTCTTCTTGTGTAGGTGGCCTTCTCCTAAGCTGATCTCTTAATCTTCTTACTTCAGCTTCAGGGAGTCACTTTTCAGTGTCCTTTAGCACTCGATTATCCTGCCGTTGTGGATATGCACTATCTTCCCTTCAACATCCAACACTCGATTTTCCAGCTGATGGATTCTCTCCTCCAGGTATGTTCCAAAGGCCTAGAGAGCTTCCTTGGTTTCTTTTCGTTCCTGAGTATTTTAAGAAGAGACGTCTCAGTTGTACTTCAACTCTGGTGTTGTGCATGTTTCAGGGAGTCAGAGGCATTTCTGATCTCGCTCCTGACAGCTTGTAAGGTAGGTGCAGAGGGTGCAACATTGATGCTTTTGATGCTGGCTTGGATGGTGCTGAGAAGTTGCTCCCTATCTACCTTCTGTTGTTCCTAAAATTTGATGAAGGCAGATGAGAGTTGCTCTAATCCATTCTTCAAAGCTTTCAACTCTTCAGTAGTGCTGGTCATGTCCAGCTGAGGAACGGATGGTGCTTCAGGTAGAAGCTTCTTTATTTTCTTCCCCATCATTTCAAAAATCTCAGCAATCCTTATTTGAGATTTTCTTCTTGATGTAAGAGGGATTGCTGGAATGGGGGAGGCTGGCTTCTTTTTCTTCTTCTGGTTGTTGTGTTGAGAACCAGAAGCTGGAGGTTCCTCAGGTGCTTGCCTGATCACAGCATCCTTTGTTTTTGAAGTAGAAGGGGCTGTTGTAGTTTGTTCCTCCATCAGTGGAGGGACTTCTAAGCCCTCCTTTTCTGCTAGAGCCCTAGCAAGGGCCTCGTCCCCAGCTGTATCAGGACGGATAATGGGGTAAGAGAGGTCCTCCCATACTGATTTGTCTGGGAGCATTTGGCTTTTTCTTTTTAGGGGATTCAACAAGAATCCCCTTCCCTTTGTCAGTCTTTTTCTGTGGCTGAGCCTCTTGCTCAGCCACTTGTTCTTCTGCAGCAAGTGCTACTTCTGTTTCTTTAATCACATATCCTTGTTGTTGCTTAGGAAAGGGTTGTTGTGGTCTTGGTGGTGGTGAAGAGTGAACAAGTGATGTAGGAGGGGACGGAACGTCAGAAGACTCAGATGTAGCAGAACTACTTGGGGACGTCTCTCTTATAGTTGGTGTAGGTTTTGATGTTCCTCCTTTCTTCAGCCTCTTTGCAATAGGCTCGTTGTCCTCACTGTCTTCCTCCTTCTCAGAGAGGGTGATAGGTTTCTCATAGGATACTCCCTCTGTCCCTTTTGTGCTGCGGAAGGATCTCTTCGGCCTCTGACTGGAACGTTTCCCCTTTCTTGGTGGTGCTTTGGCAGGAGATTTCTTCTTGCACTGCTTGCTCTCAGTAGCAACAGGGGCTTCCTTCTTTACTTTTGTAGGAGGGGGAACGATTTTTCTTTCCTGGGTATGGGAGGAAGTGGTTGCAGATTTTGAAGGGGTTGCCTTCGTGGTCTTCTTCTTTGGGGCCTTAGGGGCCTCTTCTTCCTCAATTTCATCAACGTCACGTCTGACGTTGTAACCTTCAGGGAACGGAATGTCTGACTCAATGTAGGTTCTCCTCAGGCCATTCTATGTTTTGAAATCGATGATAGACCCCAACACTAGGTCTTCATCGTCGAAAGTCTTCACTCTAGCTCTCAGACAAAGCTTTGTAATCAGGCAGGGAAGGAAGACACTAGTTTTCCCGATCTCCTTCTTCAGGCTGCCATATATGAGAGGTACTGCATCAATGGAAATATTTTTCATGATGCAGTAGATTTGCACCTGCAGTGCCCACTTAACAGTGGCATCATGTGTGGAGTGGGTGAGGTTGGTGTTAGCAAACAAAGACCAGAATCTGGCTTCGTCTTTTAAACTACTCTTGTAGAGGGCTCCCTTGGAATAAATAGGGTCACCAATGGTGATCAAGTTCTTTACTTCCAGCATGAACTTGGGGTCCTCTCTGCTCTCTATGTACCCTTGGTACGGGCAGTTGGGAGATGGAGTACTTCCTTGATGGCTGCAGGGGAGAATGATACTTTCTTCCCCCTCACAGTCACCATATCAGTTGTGTACCCTTGAGGCAGCCTCTTTGCCTGGTACAAGAACTCAGCCACCAAGGCGGTGTTGACTTCACTTGCGTCTGTAGAAAACTAGGTCCATTTGAGGCTGCTCAAAGCTCTCTTCACGAAGGAAGGAAGATGAGCTTTGACTTGCAGGAAGACGTTCCTCTCTGGGTAGAGAGATACATTTTCTTCCGTGAGTTCTGGTTCCTGGCCACAGGGGTAACGGTTACAGAGAGTCTAGTCATGTTTATAGCTGAGGGAAAGGTTAGGGCAAAAGTGCAGAGAAAGGTGATGAGAATCAAAAGTTTCTAAGTTTAGCAGAGAATGGTAGGGTTTGAGAAAGAGAGGAAAAGGGTTTAAATAAGCATGTCAATGAGGGAAAATGAGGAGTTTTTTAGTACGTGGAGGTTAAGGAAAGGAAGTTGAGGAAGCAGTGGATGGAAAACGTTATGAAACAAGTGGTCAGGGGTAGTGGAGTGCAACTGCTAATGATGGTTTCAGGAGGTGGAGCGATTTAGGTTAGAATCGTGGGAGAGAGGGAAATAGAAGAGGAGCAGTTGCATTAATAGCTGAAGGAACGATTGCTTTTGCAGGTAACGTTTTCAAAATTTGCAATGAGTGCAATTTTGATAACGGCTGCGCAAATTTGCATGACTCAGTAGGGACATGTGTCCCTTTCATTCTTATCTCCTAAGCCAGGGAACGTTCCATTTGCCTTTTATACCATAAAAAAAAATATAAAACTAATAATAATCTGAATAAGAAAAAAAAAGCAAGATATATTGGGGAGCAATAATGCAGAATTAATTAACAAAATAGTAAATGTGTATATTATTACCTCTTTATATTATTTATATATATATATACATTTTTTTTAAATGGGGGTATGTGGCTATTGAACCACCCCAAAACTACGTTCCTGCTACGGAATGTGTGTCAATTATTTTGGATTAGAGGTGAGCTTCAGACGTTCCCTATCTTTTTGGGAGCTTTGTGGTTAAGTTTAACCACCCAAAACTTTGCTCCTTGTTAGAGGGCAAATGTGTCTACTGGGTTGCCTCCCAGTTGTAACAGCCTGTTGTACACTGGCATTGTTAATATTAATTATGATATTAAGCGCAGTTACAATCATATCAATTCATTTATAAAAATGCGAGTAAACTTTTTTCGTTTCTTACGCAAGCATTTAAAACAATAAAAAGCGTAATAAATCAAAGCTGTGACCGTAACTGTAAAATTTTGTGGAATAATTATTTAAACTACTTTTATAACCTATATTACATCTCTCAAGTCACTAAGGGGTTCCCATAAACCCACTTAGCTAAAATCTCACTTTTACGTTTACTACCTACCCGAACATGGTTCGTCCATTAATTTTTTACGGACAAACCGCATACGACAAGCCTCCCATATTTTAGTATGTTATTCTAGACTTAATTACCTTTCTAGGAAGCTATCACACGAGTCATAAAGTTATCTTTTACTCCGGATATCGTCGTTTGAAGTTGGACAAGAAATTTGCCAGCGAACCCCAATACAGCTCCAAACATCCTTCACTCAATCAATTATTCCGGACAATCCACTCAACCAATTGCTCTCAAATTTTTATACAACAAAATAAAAACCTCAAGATTCAATTTTATATATCATACACCTAATTTGACCAAGAACCGAAACGGGAATAATTTTCCTAAACTTGGTCCAGAACTGCCACATGTGCAGTGGCAACATGGGCAGTCCGTGCTCTCTGCCTTATACAGGCCGACACCCAACCCAGAATTTCCTCAAAATTTGACACGATATAGAGGACTTCTCAAGCTTCAAAATGGCATATGGCATGGCCATATTGGACCTCTGTGGAGGGATATATGCTCTTCCAAAGTTCACCTAAATTCTGCTAATTTCTAGAAAATTCACCAAAGTTTCCTTTGTTTTTCCAATAATCCCCAAGTTTGCAAAAGTGTTCTATGACCTCAATTTGTACCTAATAATCATTAAGTGACACACACAAGGACGAGCAATGCCTTGAGGCTCTTACAACCCCTCACAGTTTATATCAATTTACTCAATTTCCATCACTTTACTTATATTTTCAAACTTCACATATTTCAATCACCATAATCCATTTGCATGCATTCTTTACATCATAATCATCATTCACATCCTAGAATAGGCCTATTGCCCTTTCATCATATTACATCAAGTCTTTATATACAATTACAATTCTTCCAAATGACATATTACAATTACAATCTTCCTTCAAATATATATAAAGTAAACACTCCAAAATAAACATGCTAAATCAAGACTAAACTTAGGCAAAATACATCATGAACAAAATGATACTCATAATCCTAATCACATGCATTGTTCATGAGTTAAGTCTAGCCTAGGCCCATTGGCCAACAAAATGCAAAACATGAAATCCTAAGTCTGAATCATCCTACGGGCTTCTTGCCCGCCGCTCCAACTCCACTTGTACCTCCTTAAATAAAGCCCCCAAAGCGGGGTGAGATATACAAATATATCTCAGTAACCCAGAGGTTCTGAAGAATACTCCGCCCAATGGCTCACTTCGATGCATATAAATAACTTAACATAACATCCGAAAACGAGATAAAGCAAGGGATTTAGTGAAATAGGGGAGCATAGGGATACAAAATACGACGAAGCTGGAATGGTCGATGCCAAAACCACGCAACGTCCAGCCTATTGGCTCGGCATATAAGCCTACAGGTTTCAACCAAGGCGTGTTCCCAGAACATCAAACCAAGGCAACCTCCATCCATAACAACCCGAGACTTCCTAGTGTGCTCCTATTCGGATCACACACCACGACCCCAGGTCAACTGGAACTCCCTCTCGGAGACCTATCCAGTGGAAGTCCATAACGCCCGAAGGCAAACCGTCTACTGGCCGGAGACACAGTACATCCTATGTACCAACACACATACTATATGCATGAACATGTTATCCTATATTACTCACATATACTTCCTACCATCACCCTCAACGGGCATGGTGAAACACACAAGGGGATCAAGCCCCAGTACCAAGAGGTTACCTGTATAATCCTCTCCGCGTAGCTCCAATGCAATATATTTTCCGAGCTCGTTACACAACAAAAATGCCTACACAGAGGACATTCCAATTAATTACCGTTCATACCAACACATGCAAGTTACTGATTCTACAAGCATGGTTCCAAGATACTCACCACAATCCCACTTGGTCCGGGACCAAGGGCAACCCACCGGGCTCACGGTTCGAGGTTCAAATCCACGTACGACAACCTACAATGACCATGTATAGATCATCAACATACAGTAGTTCCATCAAAATCCAAAAACGTCAAATTCTCCTCCCCCACTAGTGAGGTTCGGCCATTAGTGTGTTAATTTACAAAATATTTTTCTTTATTTTCTTTCTAATTTTCTTAAGCACTCTTAGGTTACCAAAACACCATTTTAGGTTCCTTCACAGTTATGTCCAATTTAAACAACGTACGTAAATCATGCTTACTTTATCAATTTAACTTGTTTCAATCACAAATTCCCATTACATGTATTCTTTACATCATAATCATCATTCACATCATAAGTCACTAAATGCCTTTAAACATAATGTGTGGCTATGGACAAGTCCCATGCTCACTAAAATACCAATCTAAACCAAAGGCATGAAATATAAATCGAATACAAAAGACTTGAATCTAATCATGAACACCATAAAAGCATGGAAATCTCAACATGCAATATGTTCATGATCTAAGTCTCAAAATTCTAAATAAAATGCTATGTGCATCAAATATCATCCTCCAAAATGCCATGCTCTCCATATGCACATCATACTTAACTCGTCTACCAAGCGGGCCTCTTGCTCGAAGCTCCTCCGGGTTTACTATATCCTGAAATGATGTCCCCAAATGCGGGGTGAGATATACAAATATATCTCAGTAAACCAAGGGTACTAGAGGATCACTCCACCCCATGGCTCACTCAATGTGCAACAATAACCATATAAAAATGCATGACATACAATATCACAAACAACTGGGGACAAATCCAAGAACATCCACATCAGGATTCCATTCAAGGACCCCATCATATAACTCCCAGGAATCTTCCTGGTGCCTCTCCCATGGATGAGACGACCCCATGGCAAAACCAAACTGGAACTCCTCATGAGCCCTATCCAGCGGAGGTCCCACGTTTGGATCATCCTGGTACCGCTCCCAGAGTCGGTCCCACGGCAAAACCCGACCGGAATCCCCAAAGGATATCTCCAGCGGAAGTCCAAACCAACACACATCTACTAGCCAGAGATCAAACAATTCACACACAACATGCTCCAAGCATGTCACACAATCAAGAAGTAATGCATGAACATACATATTCACACAATATCCAAAGGCACGAAATCCAACCACAACCTTCCACTAGGTGTTGTGGAGCACACAAGGGATTAAAACCCAAGTTCCAAAGGTTTACCTTTAATCCAAGAGCAATGCTCCACACATAAGCTCCAAGTTCAATCTTCCACTAGTGCGTCTGTGAGAGGCAACCTATGTGATCAACAACCATGACCATCAATCAATTGCAAACAATCCATCAATTTCACAATAGTTATAACTAATCATAATCACTAAGTCCCAAAGGATATTTTTCATTTCTTCAACTACCTCAATCATTTACATCATCAAACTAACTCACCCTTTATGCACCAAGGTATTAACCATTGATTACACAACATTCTTCACCTCATTTTTTCTTAAACCAACCTATAGGTCGAATTCTACATGGAATCATGCTTCAAGGTTTTCAATCCATTTCGACACTTCTACACATCATACAATCTTATAATTCACTCATACAATTACTCCACAACTCAATTACCCAATCCTATCATCATGCCATTTCACAAAGCATTGGAATTCAACTCCAAATTTCACTAAGTTACAACTTTACAAATCACCATAAATTTTATTGCATCAATCATCATCATTTATCATTCTAAGCATTTAATTTCAAAGGAACAACATCATTAAAAGCCCCTAACCACATCAACCAATAAACACATAATCAAACACTCATCCATTTTATGATTTCAATAAAAACTCCATGAGAGTGTGAAAACTTACCTCCAATCAACTCCTAGGCAACCCAACAACAAGTTTTAACACTTGAACGGTCCAAAACCGCCACCAACCACCACCAAAAATCTCAAAACCTCCACCCACCATAGGAAAATGATCTCCTTGCACACTCAATTTTGTGGCTCACTTAAGGAAGGAAAGATGATTTGGAACAACTTTGATGTTTTACACTTTTGGATTTGAGACGATTTTGATGGAGTTTTTGTGGTTTGAAAGTTGGAAGAAAAGCTCCCTTTTCCCTTCCATGGAGGACGCGTGAGAGAGGAGGGAGGAGGAGAGAGAAAATGCTGAATTGTGTCTCACATGGCCCAATTGTCACTTAAGTCACCTACAGTGGGTCCCACATGTCACTTAACTTTCTTAAATCACCCAATTTAATCCATAAATTCATATCCTACGTATTTTTCTCTTTCACGTCATATTTTCGTTTCCTAAAAATACTGATAATATTTTCGCGCTTATCAGTATAATTATACCGCAGTATTTTACACCGGTAAAATCACTATTCATCAAATTTTCCTAAACTTGCCTGTCCACTCGATTTTTCGTCTTGAATCCATTTTCGGCATTATTTTTACCATTTGAGACCTTCTACTCAATTTTCATGCCTAGAATTGCTTGTTTGGTAAAATTACCATTTTGCCCTTTTTACATATTTTGGCCCTAATTTCAGGATTTTCACTAACCTTACCCTTTTAATTCACATTAACATCTATAATTACGCATTTAGAAATACGAGGTGTTATATTCACCCCACTTTTTTGAAATTTTGTCCGCAAAATTAAGTTATACTTATCCGCTAACTTAGGATACAGCCGGAGAATCTCATCCTCCCGTTCCCAAGTAGCCTCCCCAGGTGTAGGACTTTCCCACTGAATCTTTAACATCGGAGTTACTTTGCTTCGTAGCCTCTTTTCACTATGGTCCAGCATTTCAATATGACCAATGGGAGTCTTCAAGTCCTCCCAAATTTCAATATCATCCGGTATCACCACATGTGATCATTCGGAGCATACATCGCAGTTGCGAACATCCTCTGATTGACCAATTTATCTTCACTAGTTGGGTTATCTTACATATATAGCCCATAATTTCTTTTGGAGGGTGTGCTAACCTAGTTAGTTTGTCAACAATATCCACGTAGGATCATATCCAGTCCAATTCAATCTGTGCCTCACAGGAACCTATCACTCTCTGATATCTTTCATCCCGTAATTATCCTTCAATTGAATTTTAATCCTGTGAACTCCAGAACTTTCGTCATTAAATCCTTTTCAATACCACTTATCACATAGTCTTACTTTCATGGTAAATTAAGTCTCAAAGGGAATAATCCCCATCTACGGTCTTTAGCCACAAGTTGTACATACATGTATTTCTACCCATTTTCTTGATCTAAGAACGTGCAATTCCACTTTTACACCCAATACAGGACAGACACTTTTTCTGTTCCTTAATACCGTATCTAACCTTACCGGTTTACTAATTTCCACCAAAATACATTGACGAATCAATTTCTCAAAACATTTCACTGTTACCTAATGGACCACTCATTATAATTCACATATCACATTGGCCATTTCAAAGCCTTCAACAACAATTCTATTTATGAACTCCTACGTACAAGGTCATACCTATACTTCGCATCAATTGTTCATTTCTTTCTCAACTTAGCCATCTCAAGGCTTAACGTACAATTCATCAATGATTTTTCACATTAAAGGCATATGCCTAAGACTTCCACCAACAACTATGTTTAAATATCGTTCAATACTCTTACTACAACTTCCACATATATTTCATTCCTGTATACCACAATTTCATAATCATCACATTTAACCATTTATGTACCGTTCAATTATGTCATATCATATCTCTTACAATTAAGTCCAATCATATAGGGATTTTCAAAACTTACTTATCCTGTCATATGGAACTAAATCCATCATTGTCATTACTTTTATAATTCAACATCGGTGGATATACAATCTCTCGGAATTTTCAAGGCTACTACAAGCACATGACCATACATCATTAGTACCTAGCCAAAAACAACATCAACATTGTGCATTTTCAACACATCTTTCACCATAAGTTGAATATACCATATACAATACTCCATAAGTCACTCTACCAGTAAAGCAGAGCTATCAACTTTTATTTAACCAATTGCAGTTCCAATTTCCAGCTATTATTACACATTCATACTTGACTACAACACAATTACCTTTCATCAAGGCTAACAGGTCACCGCCTTAACTTAAAATCTCAATCATCCCTAGCCTTCCTAGAAGGACATTTACTCCATTTGTCAACATTAAATCAAGCTATTATCTCTTTTAACATAAGGCGAGAATTCCAACAAACTTACAACATCACTTGAAGCCGAAAATTATCTCATCATACTTAATTTACACACACAACAGTGTGCTTCAATATCACACTTCAGAACTCTTACACATTATGCCGCACATCCTACATCCAAATTTGACATATTATTGTCCACTTACAAGTATATGACCTCACATCTTGCATTATTCACATCGCACAACTCAGTTGTGAACTAACATACGACATCTCATCTATACAATTCATCTCACCAATTCAGGATACTTCCAAGGATCATAGTCCTTATAGAAGATAACGATAGCCTCTGGGAATATAATCCGTTCAGAGATAACAATGGTCTCCGGGAACATAATCCACACAGAGATAGTCATACAATTTGTCTTTTAGCCTAATTTTCAGGATTTTCACTAATCCTACCCTTTAATCCTCATTTAATATATTAATATATGATTTAGAAATGTGAGGTGTTATACCAGTCAGCGCTTAGTTTAGTGTCTTTAGCTGGACATGGTACTCACCTTTCATTCTTGTGTAGAAGATGTTGAGGGGACTTCAGTGTCCCCTGGCAGTTTTCTTGGCGTCCTGGTGTTAAGGCTAGCAGCTATCTGTCACAGATGGGATTCAATATTTTTGACCACAACATCGTTCCTGGTAACATATTTCTTGACATAATTCTCCAAGGTGTTGATGCGTTGGTCATCTCTGGGGAACAGAGCATAATTGGGTCTTCTCTGTTGGTCAAATGGTCTGTTTCCCATACTGCAGCCTTGTTGGTATTGTTGCTGCTGGTTGTATGGTTTCTGGTTTATGGGTGGTCTCCATTGTGGGTTATGGTTCTGATCTTTCACTATGGTGCCTCTAGGATTTTGGTTGTTGTTGTTTCCTGCATGTTGATTGTCTCTGGCCTGGGTGAAGCTTCTGTTCCCAAAATTTTCTGCATAACACACCAAGGCTATGGATGGACAGTCTGTTGAATCGTGATTATCACCACAGGCTGAGCATGGTTCACTCTCAGTGGCTGTTAGTCGTAAGACTTCCATTCTTGGCTATTCTTGGTTAGTTTTTAGATTCTTCACCTCGTTAATCAATGTAGCCAGTTGGGCTTCCATGGCAGTTTGTTTGTCTAATTCTAGCATACCTGGCTTCCTTACTGGGCTCATTCTCTCCAGTGGCCATTGGGGACATCTTTCTGTAGTGCCTTCTATTATTTCGTACCTGGATTCAAGAGTACCTATAAAGAAATATCCTCCTGCAGCAAAGTCTAAATGTGATTGAGAAGTATGATCAATCCCTTTATAAAAAGACTGCTAGATTCCCCAACTCTCCACCCCATGGTTTGGACATTTCCTAATGATATCTTTATATCTCTCCCAAGATTCATAGAGATTTTCTCCATAAAACATTCTAAAGTTAGAAAGCTCTGCTCTAACATTAGCTTGGAGAGACATAGGGAGAAATCTCTCTATGAACTTATTAGAGAGCTCCTCTCATGAGTATATGGATCCAGGGGTGAGAGTTTTCATCCAGATTTTAGCTTTTGAGCCCAAGGAATGAGGGAACAACCTCATTCTCATACTCTCCTCTGTCACACCCTCAGTTTTAAAATTATCACAGATATCTTGAAAGTTTATAAGGTGTGTGTAAGGATCTTCTGTAGGGAGTCCATTGAAGACTCGAGCTTCCCTTATCATGTGGAACATGATGGGTTTTAGCTCAAAATTAGGAGCTAAAGGGGAATGATTACTCCTCTTTCTGGTCTGTTCCTTGAAGGAGCAGCCAGTGCTCTGAAGTTCTGTTCATGAGGGATATCTTCGTTATTATTATTGTGATCAACCATGTTTTCGAAAATGTTTTCCCTGAGATCTCTTTTTCTCCTGTGTAAAGTATGTTCTGGTTCAGGATCAAAGAAGAACTCAGGTATTTCAGTGGAGTGATGAGAATCTGTTTCAGACTTAACACAAGGAACGGATTCACTGATCCATTCTTAAATAGCTATATTCTCTACTCAAGACTTAACACTTCTGTATTTGTTCCAGTCTCTTCACTACCAACTCTGATTCCTCAGCTCATGGACTAAATGGCTAACAAGTTTTCATATTCCTATGGCTCCCTTGACTCCAACAGTTACTTAGCATAGGACCTTTAGTGAACGAGGTGGTCCCTTATTCTTAAGGCAACCAGCAGTGTTGTTTCCACAACACTACATTCCCCCATCTGGTTAAGCTACTGAAATCCCTCCCTTAAGGAAGTTCTTTTCTCAGTATGTGTTCTTTGGTTCGTTTCTTTCATTTAGTCCTCTCTCTGTTAGGTTAATCCTAATAGGTAACCATAGATATGCTGCAATCGCTAATGATGTTAAAGGTTTGCAAGTTGGAACGATTATAAAGTGATAATGTGACTCTAGCACAATTTAAGAGAACCTAACAACAACAGAAAAAGTGTGAGACAACATATATTAGATTTTAAAAATCATAGACATTAGACAACATATAAATACCTTATTGTTCTTTTAAAGAATTAAGAATGTCAAGATAAAAATAAAATTTATGAGTTTATTATTTCTCATGTTGTTGAAGAAAAAATCATTTCCTTACTTATATAAATGTATGTGGAGTCTATGTTATTTTTTTTCTCTCTTTTTTTCACATGGTCTCATATATTTTTATGTGTGTATAGGAGATAAAATTATCTTGTATAATATTAGAAACATCCAAACCATAATAGTAATTCATTTGCAATGTTCTTCATTGTTATCTATTTTTATCTTCACAAAAGGTTTAAGAAAACGCATATGAACAATATGCTAGTTAATAGTAACAAAAACTCAGTCCTTTAATTAATTTATCAACTAAAAGGTATAATTGACTTTTTGGTTTTCTTGACTTCTGGTTGATTTCAAAAATTTGGTTCATTTGCATAAGACACTTTTACTTTTGCCAACATGGCCCACCAGATACAAGATAACCCGTTTTTATCCACAGGAAAATGTCTTATTCCTATTTGATTATTTTTAGTTGTTTTTATTCTGCATAATTAAAAAAACTGTAACTATTAGTAACTACGGGAAAAAAAAGTAATATATAATTATTTTAATAAAAATTATAAAAATATAGTTGTTTTAAAATAATTTACAGATCTATTCCACTCAATTTTGTCCAATTTAAACGAAATTTATAACACCTCACATATTTGAAATGATTATTAATGATTGAATTATGGATTAGAGAGCTTAATTGGTGAAAATCCTGAATTTTAGGTGAAAATACACTCGAAGGAAAAAATGGTAATTTGACAATTATTGAACCCTATAATTGTGAAATGATATAATTGGACATTATTTGGTGAAAATAATGTTGGATTTGGATTCAGAACTAAATTTGAAAGTGGGTAGGCATTTTTCTGAAAATTGGTGAATAATGATTTTTAGTGGATGAAATACCGCAATGAAATTTTACTGAGAAACTCAAAAATCATATTAATGATTTGTGAAGGAATTCTTTGATTGATGATGTAATTGACTGGTGGTTGTTTGAATCATAAATTATGGAGTTTAAAAAGAGTTTTAAGGATGTGAATTGGTTGAAAAATCCTTTGATTCCATTAATTTACACATTCGGCCATATTAAAAATTTTAAGGAAAAATGATGTAAATTGTGTTGTGGCTTGATGGAAGGTGTGTGAAGGTATTGGTGATTTGGTTGATAAGGTTGTTAAGTGGTAGTATTGGTTTTTTGAAATTAAAACACCTTGGAAGGCATGAGCTATATGTTTGTAATTTGCTTGTGTTTATCAAGCATGTGTGTTGATCATTATCTGTATGATCGTTGTAGGTTGAGTCTCTTTGATCCAATCTTGGAGGATTAAGCTTTGGAAGCTTCTCTCTGTTGGTTTGTGAACTTGATTATGGAACTTTTTACAGGTACACTTCTGTGTGTCCTGGGGTTAGATCCTTTGTGTACTCCGCCATGTCCTTTGGGAATGGTTGGATTTGTGATCTCTGATAATGTGTGATAGAGTATGATCATGCATTTTTACTTGATGTTTGACATGCATTTTGGCATGATGTTTGGTGTATGTTTTGATATACTTGTATTGTTGTCTGGTATATGTTTTGATATACTAGCATCTCTGGCCAGTGGATAGATTTATGACGACTTCCACGGGATAGGTCTCTGTAGGGAGTTCCAGTCGAATTTTGCCATAGTTTTGTCTTCGTTTTAGGAGCGGTACTAGGAATATCTCGGGAGTTATAGGATGGGATCCTTATATAATATCTTTGTTGGGATATTCTTGGATGTTTGCCAAGTAACGGGATCCTTGAGCAATAGTTATTGGATGTTTTCCCGATGATAGTTGTGATTAGGATCCATGAGTAGTAGTTCTTGGATGTTTGCCCAGTGATTGATGTGATTTTGTAAGTTATATTGTACATTTATTATCATTGCATGCACATTGAGTGAGCCATTGGATGGAGCGACCCTCTAGGACCCGTGGTTTACTGAGATTGTCAAATCTCACCCCGCGTTATGGGGCATTATTTTCAGGTACCACTAGTGCTGCTAGGGAAGCTTTGAGCAAGAAGCCTACTTAGTGTGGACATGAGCATATGGAGTATTTGACATGTACATAGGAGTGCATGGGGATTTCCTTGGCATTTTGAGATATTATTTTGATGCACACGGTAGTTGCTTATTTTGTATCATTAACATAGTGCATGAACATTAGCCTTGTAAGAGATGTTATGGACATGCTTAGAGTGGTTCATGCTTTTATGTCTAAGTCATTTGATTATTATGTTGATTATGTCATAGTTAAATTTGATAGTTGATGTAAATGTTTGTATAATCGGAGAACTTTGGATATGTAAATTTTGATGCATGTAATGGAAGGGCTTTAGGCCTATTGTAGTCATTGTTGATGTTTAATTATAATGGAAGATGAATGGGACATGGTGTATGAAAGGGTAATGATATAATTGGTAAATTGAGTAAAGAGACATAATATGTATTGATGGATATTGTGGGTTGTGAGTGAACCAAGGTATGTTGATCCTTTGGATGCCATCCTTTTGATCTATTAGGTACCATTTTTGAGTATTGGAACACACTTGTATAAAGTGGGGGAAAGTTGTAAAAACAAAGGAGACTATATCGAAATTTCTAGAAAAACAATGTGATTTTACACTAACTTTGAGAAACCATAACTCTCTTCACAGTGGTTTGAATAAGGCGTACCATGCCTTATTTTGAAGTTTAGGATGTCCCCTATATTATGATAAAATTTAGTGTCGTTTGGAGTTGTAGAAACTGCCCAGTCTTTGATTGAATGCGGACTGTTCTTGTTCACACTATATTTTACAGCATTGGTGTTC